TATACCTATTAAAGAGGGAAAAATAAAAGAAAGAAAAATATTAAGTATTTTCCAGCTCTGGGAACTTAGTAAATTTGCAGAAAAGGGAAAAAAAACAAACAAAACTGGAAACAAGAAAACACCAAGAACAAACAAAAAATCCAAACACAAAACATGAACAAACAAACGAAAACCCAACAACAAAAAAAAACCAAAACCAATAACCAAAATGGCACGGCCATGAAGTCATTAAGTTTAACTAGCTGCCCCACTGGATTTGGTAACAACAGTCCTAAGGGAGAGAATCCAGATAAAAAGTCTTCATCTCAATCCATTATTACTTGGTGAAAATAAAAGCCAGTGTGATATACTCTATCATCACTATAACCCCCACTTCACTCCACTAAAGCTAATAGGAATATTTTTTCTTTCCTCTAGCCTATTACTGGCTACAGACAAGTATTCCTACTCACCTACCCAACACTACACTTTTCAGAAGAACCAGCTCTGCCAAGAGTTGCTAGACACACGATTATTTTCAGAAACAGGTTTTCCACAAACCTCCTCTCTGTTTGGATGACAGACTGTCCTCGTACACCCTTCAATAAGAAGATTTCTGGAGAGCAAGTGTGTGTGAGGTTGACTTCTGGGGATGACAAAAGATTATATACCACTCTATTGCAAAGTGAATGCATAGCAGAACTGGAATAAAACCATAATACATTAATTGCAACACAACAAAAAATACCATTGCTACTAAGATATGAGATGGTCTTGCATTAGTGTTATGTTAGTTAGTATGTGGTAACAGCATTACTTCCTTACTCCAGAATAAGATAACAAGCAAGTCTTTACTTGCTTGATAAAACTTTACCATTAGCACTTGGTATTTGGGCATAAATCCACATGTCTTTGATATTTACTTACTAGTGACTTAACAGAAATCTTTTTATGAACCTGAGAGAGCTTAGAAAAGCAGCAGAAAATTTTAGCTCTCACAAATTCTCACATTTCTGACTATTTTAAGCAGACACTTGACCAACTGTGGCACACAGGTTTTGGCCATGTCCAGGCTCTAATCAGAATACATACCAACAGCAGCATGTTTCCAATTCTCAGACTGCTTCTTAAGTCTTTAGCTGCATAGTTTTGCTCCCTTTTCAAAATGAGTGCAGTGATCCACCATTTCTGTTCCCTCTAATATAATACTGTCTCTAATAATCCAGAAGAAACACCATTTGTTAAAAGTACTGCCTACCAGATGGGCACAGTGTGCTGGGCTGTATTCCTGCCAGCCTGTCACAAACAACTGTGATCTTATCTCTACCTCCTGTGCTGGTGTCACACAGGAAAAGAAAGCCCTACTAGTTGCAACAGCAAGGAAAGTTTCAGATTCATCCCTACGGTTAGGTAAGGTACAGGAGATTTACTTAGGACAGAGGCATAAGATAAGGCATGCCTATCGCCTGCTCCTGTGTTGAGTCATCCTGGCCCATGCTGCTAAGCAGTGTGTGATCTGACAAGAAGCAACTAAGTTCTCTTTCAACACGCACCCTCTTTGCCAAGAGAGGGCCCCAGCAAGAACCTTTATCCAAGCTAAAGCATCAACTTCTAGCAGTTTCGACAAACTCATCAGGCCTAGAGGTTTTCCCAAGAATATTGCACCAACGCCAATATGTCAGCAAAAGAAGAACAAACATTTGCAGAACCAAACGTGTTTCCACAAAGTAAAAACCCTAACACAGATTAACTGGAACTACAAGAAGCAAACCATCCCCCTTTAGCTTACATATGAGAAAGAACTCTCTTTCCCATACAGGTTGTGGAAGAAACAGAACTGTTTTTCTGGAGTTGTGGATGGCTCAACCCTGGTGGTGCTCAAGGCTAGGATGGACAAGGCCTTGTGCAACCTGGTCTAGTGGGAGGTGTCCTTGGGGGGGGGTTAGGTCTAGATGATCTTTCATGTCCCTTCAACCTCTTAACATTCTGTGATTCTACACTGGCTGGCAAGACTTCAGCTACCATTACCAAGGCAATTGTGCAATTTACAGTTGTAATATTGTTCCATTGCTCCAAGAAAAGGCTATATTAAACGATATTGGATACTACTTCTCACACCAGAATAGCAGCAGTTCAATATTCAAAGAATACCCAAAACCTTGAGAAAAAAGCTAACTCCTCCTTTTGGTTATACTGTTTTCCATTCATACACAAGTAAGTATTTAAGTATGACCACCTCACACCCCTCCTCCAAGGAAAAAAACAAGCAAAAAAACCCCAAACAAACAAATAAACAAAAACCAAAAACCAAACCTCAGAAAAGAGAAGTAAAAGCAAAGTTTGCTGCCCTTTTGAAATTCACTTCATAGGTACATAACTTTTCCAGTTTACGTCAGCTCTGCCTCCTTCCCTACAAGGTATATAGTGCTTTCTACAGTGGCCTCACCTTATCCCATATCTTCTGCACCTTTTATCTCTTGCTCTGAGGAGAAACAGCTCACAGCTTAATAATAGTGAATATTAAATAGGAAAATTTAATTGGAGTACTGCATACTCCTTTTTCCCGCCAGTAAATCAATAAAATCTTGAGGTTTTTAGCTACTCAACTTTCAAATTTTGTCACAGTCAACCAAGGAACGCAAATGCATGACTCTAGGAAGCAAATAAGAAATGGAAAAATGCAAAAAATAAAAGTAAGCCATCTCAGAATCACACAGGTAGCATAAAAGAGGAGTACACATCCTTATTTTGAATAGTAGCCACAAGGAAAAACAGTACTTCTCAACAGCTACAAGGTACACCTATAAGTAAAATAAAGTTTTACTTGAACTTAAGAACTTCAGTATCTTGGAAGGAGAGACAGCAATCTAATTTTATTTAACAAAAAAGAAATTACTAGTCATGTTTAGTTTTCCATTGGTGCTGCTGAAATAGAATGGTCCTTATCTTAGATGCACATGTGCTCTGACAGTAGGAAAGACCAACACAGAACCAGGAAAAACAGAAGAGCCATGTGCCAAAGCACAACACTTCGGAAAAAGCAGACAAGAGGAGTACAAATTTTACATTCTTCAGTTGAGCAAAGTCTACTTCTCAAAGAAACAAAACCACACAAGTCAGATGAGGATGTTTTAAAAAAAAAAAAAACATTATCCTTCAAGAGAGGAAACACCCCCATAACTGCTTCCCAGGTCCGTATTTCTAACACATTCTAGGTTTTGAGGTGAAAAAGGGGCTGCAGTAGCTTGCTTCCAGTTTTTCAAAGTCTCTGTAGAAATGCAGCTACCAGCTCTCACCAAGACTGATGAAGAATCCTCAGCATAAACATGAGAAAAAAATAGCCAGTGCTGCACATTCTACAATTTATTCTAAAGTGCATTATTACATTAACCTGCAGATGTAAAGAAGCATACCACTAGCAAGTTTTTTCATCAAAAGTGCAGCAGCTGCAGCAGTGGATGAAACTCCTGAGTACTTAAACCAAGTACTAACCGGCTTTTGAATTAAAGACGATGCTGGTTTCATTTGAAATTAGCTCTGAAGATAAACTGTCCAGGCTGGTAAAGCCAGCCTATGTAGTGTTTATCCCTGCTTGGGCAGTTCAAGAGAGTACAACATGCATCATAAGACCTTCATTACCTAAATTTTCCTTAATAGCTTAGTTTAGAGATGAGGCACAGATTAGCAGAATTGGCCAAGCTGTCCTTAATACAAGCCTGTCATGCCTTGTACCTAAAACTAAGCCGGCAACTAAATACCACGCAGATGCTCTCTCACCCCATGACACCTCACATCCCCCACCCCATCCCCTCGGCACGGCTGTGTTTCAATCCTGGGGCAGCCACTTCCAGGTGTACCTGACACCTCTCCATGTGAAAGCAAACTGTGGCCTATATACTCCGCTGCCAAAGGGATTGAGAAAAATGTATTAACAGCATCAGTTGTGGCACTACTTAGCTGTCTTCGACTCCAGCTGCTACCGAAGTCCCACCATGTCCACCACAGCAGCCCTTGGGGGTGGCGTGACTTCATTGAGGCCACAAGAGTCTACTGTCAGATTCCACTCTCCCGCAGACTTAACTGCTTGTATAGTGTTATCAGAGAGAAAAGCAGGTCCCACTGATCACTCCTTGGCTCTGGAGTCGACCGATCAGCTTCTGGGTGAGAATCATGGTGTCTCTGCTGGCACTGGGCAGAGACACCAAAAGCCCACTGGTACCCTTTGGGGCCCTTGAAATGCACTCTCCTGAGGTAGCCTGTGCCAAGGCTGCACAGGGCCTCTGGGGCCATCACAGTAAGGAGCTTTTCCCACTCATTCCCAGTCAAGCTCATTTCAGCCTCCAACACAGTCAACTACTGGGATGCCCTTGTCACTCCAAAAGCACATGGGTCTGACATGCTAGGCCATCGGATCCACTGAGTCCAATAAACATGGTTGTCCTACTCCACCTGGCTGGAGCAGGGCCCCTCCACTCCTGGTCACTGGACTGCCCACTCACTTCATATAAAGAAAACAAGATCAGAATTTCTTCCCAAAATATTAGGTGTAAGATAAGACCTTCATTCTGGTAAACTGCCCACTGGAGACTGGAGGAACAACTTTCCTAGTAAAAAAAACATTTGGGATTGTTTTTCCTACAGTTCAGGTACCACGGCCTCTAGGGTTGAAGGCAGGCTTTCTATTCCACTTCCTCATGTCCGCTCTGTGATCCCTCTGATAAAAACACAGAGCAACCCACTATGTCTACCCTCTACATCCTCTCTCTTGAGCAGAACACTTACTGTTAATAGCAGACATACTGGGGCATACAGATAAGGAGTAGGATCTGTCTTTTTTTATTGTTGCTGGAACTCGTGGAACAGTTTTTCCCATTTTTCAAGCAGTTTTCCCACAGCAAAGTCCATAGGGACTCATTACTGCCAGAGCTGGCAAGCCACTTCGCCCAGCACCACCTCTTTGTCTCCCCATCTACCCAGCTTTGTCTCTTTACCACCAATAAACTGGCACACAACAATGGTGCATGGTGCGCTCCACTCAAATTACCACCACCGTGCGTCACATGAGCGGGATTTCAACTGGACTTGTGGGTAACTTCACATTGTTTGGGTGATAATAAATCATCTCCAGCATGGCTGATTCCCTCAGGTACTGGACATGGTGGCCCACTTGCCTGGGTGGCATATAACTTCTAGTTTTAAGGGCTATCTCTCCTTCACACTTGACAGGAGTCACCTCCAGAGGCTGATGACTTGTATCCTTTTCCTAACTGCCTCGTTAATGCCCTCTTCTTCAGGAAGAAATTCCAGCTGCTTCCCTACCCTAAAATTCCAGGTTACTAGCCCTCTTGCTGCAGCACCAGAGCCGGCAGGTAACAATGTGCTCATCTGTACCATGCCTGAAGCCTCTTCAGATATTCACAGCTCACTCAGGGATAAGCATTGAATTGTTGTCTCTTTTCTGTCTTTTCCTCCTGCTCTTGCAATAGCCCTGCTTCACCCTACTTTATTATGAGCTGACTTCTGTGTCCATTTCTTCTAGTTTATATGAGTGACTGATGTCTGTAAGCCTGTTTCAGCTGCAATGCCTGTCACTGGAATTAGAGACTGCCACTTTCTTGACATATATAAAGACCATCTCTTCCTCTGAAGGCACTGAGTAGGGCTTTCCCTTCATGAAGCCATACTGGCTCTACCAATGCCTGCATTGTTCTTCAGGCGTTTTTCAGTAATTCCCAGAAAAATCCTCTCCATACTTTTACTGGTCACTGAAGTGAGACTGAGAGGCTCAGGATCACCTTTGTAGTCCCTTCTCTTGGGAAAATGTTAGCCAGATTGCCATTGACTGGGACCTTTCCAGATTCCCAAGACCATCCAAAAATCAATGAAAGAGATCTTGTGATGAATGACATCAGCAAGCTCTTCTGAGTACTCTTGGCTAAATCCCATCAGGTCCCACAGACTCCTGGGGATCCAGCCAGTTCTTTCATTCTCATAGCCATGGTCCTCCAGCTCAGGGTGCTGGGAAACACTTAGTCCATTTTCAGTGTTGACAAGAGAGGCAAAGGCATTAAACATCTCTGCCTTGTCTATGTCCCTGTTTGTGAAGTGATCATCCTCATCCTGTAATGGGCCAATGTTATTTCTGCACTGCCTTTTGCTACTGACGTATCAAAGAAAAATATTTTTTTCTTTCTTCTGACAGTCCTGGCCATCTTCAACTCCAGCTGATCTTTGGATGCACAAATTTTCTCCTTACAATGAGGAGCAGCATCTCTGTTTTCCTCACATGTCACTAATACAATGAATGCTTTTAAAAATTTGTTCTAACATGTACTAGTCAGATTTGTTATTACCTGAACTCATCATACCTCCTACTGGGCATGAGAAAAAGACTGGTTTAACACCAGTCAGCAACCAAGTATCACAGAGACACTCATTTGCTCTCCCCTCATCAGTGAGATAGATGGGAGTAAGATTGGGTGGAAAAGGTAAAATCCATGGGCTGAGATAATTTAATGATTGAAATAAAGTAAAATTAATAATAATAACAGCATAGAAAGGGGGAAAGAGAAAGGAATAAAACCCAAGAGAAAGAAGTGATGCACAATAAAATTTCTCACTGCCTGCTGACTGATACCCAGACAGTTCCCAAGCAGTGACTGGCCTCTCCCAGCCAACTGCCCCCAGTTTATATATTGGGTATGGAATATAACTTTGGCCACTTCAAGCCACCCATCCTGGCCATCCTCTCTCACAACTTCTTGTGCACCTGGCTGCTGGTAGTGCATGAGACACAGAGAGTTCTTGGTTTAGAGTAAGCACTACTTAGCAACAAATAGGAATCACTGCTATTCAAAGGATTCTCATACTAAATCCAAAACATAGCATTGCACCAACTAACTCTATTCCAGCCAAAGTCAGGACAAAGTCTTAGAGTGTACCACAGCAAGGGCACCACATGACCTTCAGATCTGAAAACAATCCTTAGTCTGGCTCCCTTTGGCCAAGCAAGGAATTCTTTTAGCATCTAGATGCTTCTTGATCATAAACCTTTCTATCTAGCCTCAGATGTACAAGGACCTCGGTTGGGTTTGTGGGTTTATTTTTTTTAATTGAGAGGGAATCCCCAAGTAACCAATTAAGCTGGCTTTAAGACTTTGAAAAACCAGGGCAGCAAAGAGTGAACTTAATGGGAAGCAGATCTGGCCCGCTATTTTAAGTAATCTTTAGACAGTAGTGGGGGGAGGGATGAGAAGAGGGATGGGGAGAAGAATTAAAGTTTTTCTTGAAGAATCTCCAGTGCCTAGGAATGCTATTTTGCCCTTAACATTAGGTATATCTGTCCTAAATTTCCAACCCATTCTAAAGGAATACCAGTATGAATTCTTTTGGGGTGAATCCAGTGTCATAAAGCAGTTTAAGCGTTGATGGTATATGTTTTTTGAGCTCACAACTGGCCACACGACAGGTGAACACTTTGATCACACAGTAATCAGGAAATTGCTTCCTAGTACAGAATGATCACAAACACTTGAACACCACGGAAGCAACACTGCACTCAGCAAAATCCTGAGTTTAACAGCTATTTGTTTTCCCACACGGCATACCCATAGCACTACCTTATCTTGTGGGTTTCTTTTCCTTTAAATAAAAAACACCAATGACTAATGCATTTGTGTTAGTTGGGTTATTAAAAAAAATACAAAGATTTATTTACACTTCATACCATTTTCTCGCTATTCCCACTGGAAAGCCACAGCTGCAGGACAATGAGACATAAATCAGAAAAAAACTCCACAGAACCCCAAAAAAACCCAAACAAACAAAAAGAAAAACCAAGCAACCAAACAAAAAACAACCTATGATATCTGGCACTTCCTTGAGCTGCAAGAAGCATCAGGAAAACACAGATTTTATTCAAGGACAGACTATAGCAGGAGGCAGCTACCTGGAACCTTATGCTCGGACTTTAGAAGGGTTCCTGCTGGTCTGTGTACTTTTAAGTAGGAAACAACTTCAAAGTTTAGCTTAACATATTCCTCTTCAAAGTATATCCAAGTCCCTGCAAAACAAAATTCTGTGCTAAAAGCCATGTTCATATAGTACTAAGCATGTACACTTAAATCAGGAAGCAGAGCTCCCATCTGCCATATTCTATGTAAACAATACTATTTAGATGCATGTAGCTCACAAAAAAAAAAGGCTTATAGAGGTGTTCTGCTACCTCTGTTTCTCAGCATCACAGCCATTGCAAACACCAAAAAAGAAAACCTAAGACACTTAAAAGCAATTACCATGTGCAAGAAACCACAACAAGCTTATTAGTAAAGAGACTATACTGAACCTGTAGGCAAAGACAGCCTACAGTGATAGACAACTTCTGTTAAAAAAGCAGTGATCATCCCCAAGATAACCATCTGCCCTCTCCTCCTGAACTGTGGAATATGACCAGGAAAAACTCAAGCACTTTCTGCATTACCACTACAGGTCTCTTTCAGACTCCAAAGAATCAAGCACTAAGCAAATCAAGCATATGCAAAGAGCATGAGGTCTTTCAGGCTTACACTGAGAAAATTACATTTTTGCAAAGTATTGCTCAAATAGCACCTCTTTCTTGGGCTTTTATGCCTACCTTTTTATTTTTAATTTTATTTTTTTTGCACGGCGGCTTCTTTTCCTCTAAAAAGAAGTAATATTTAACACCAAACTCAATGAAGTATATTCTTTCCTACTGTTCACCAGAACAGCTGGGCTACAAAAAAGTTGCTGAATATCTGTTTTAACAACTGTGAATTCCAACTATTTGCTTACTGAGAGCTGCAAGAGCTAGTTAATAACTTTTATTTCCCTACTCTGGAAAAAAATCTCAGCTTCACAGAGATGGCTTTATTATTTTGCAGTAATTCACTCTGGTACACAACGAAATTCAAGCATTTCACATCCTCTTCATTGCTGCCACATATAACCTTAGGAAGTAGAAACTTTCATAGCATGCTCTCAAATGCAGGCTAACATATATTCACATTCTCTTACTAAGAACAAGAACAAGCTAGCTCCACTGAGCTACAAAGCATAGCAAGTCCTAAGTAGACATTAGTCACTTGCCTCACTGTACAAAAGCACTGCCACACCTCAAACACCGAGCACTGAATAAAACTCAACCTATTATGTACTCCCTCTAAATCGCCTTCAGGAAAGTTTGGGCAGATTTGCCTTGCCAATCTTCATGAAGAAGCTTCTGGATGCTCACAACACTAAAATCGTTCATTCTAGACTGTGCAATCAAAAATCAAGTCTATATTCCCACACGCGCATGCCAGGACTTCGATCTGTGTTTAAAAGCACGCTCCAGTTAAAACTGCCTCAGTTTGGAAGTGCCGTCCTCAAAAGCACATCTAGGACAATACTTTACAATCACCAGTTTCCAAGAGGTGTTGCCAAGGAATCCTGCTACGGTGTTCTCATAGTCTGACAGTGTAACAAGGAAAACCTTCAAGTTCAAGCGATCGTTTGAAGGGATTTCAGTTCGGGCTGTTCGAAGGACCTTTAATAAAACAACTGCGAAATTATAAACATCTTTGATGCATCTTACATTAACTATAGCTTTGACCGACTGCACTTCCCGGACAGAGAAAGTGCCCACGGAAGGAAGACCCCAGGCACACGGGGCCCTCTCGGACAGCGCGGCCTCGGCCACTGTGCAGAGTCGGGGGTCGCCGCTGCCCGCTCACCTGTCCCTCTACCCCCGGGCGCGGGGTCGCGCCCGCCCGCCGGCAGGGACGCACACCGGAACGGCGGCGCGGCACGCTCCCACGGAGCAGCGCAGGAGCCGGGGTTAGAGAAAAAAAATTAAAAATTAAAAAAAAAAAAATTAAAAAAATATATATTAAAAAAAAAAAAAAAAAAAAAAAAGGCAAAGGAGAGGGATGAGGAAAGGGGCCGCCTGCGGCCACGCTGCCGGGACAACTCTCCCCAACTCCAGGCGACGGACTCGCCCCTAGACAGGAGGCCAGGCCTGCCCCTATCCTGCCCGGCCGCCCGCCCATCAGCCCCCACCGGGGAGCAGGTGGGCGACCGGGACGGCCGGTGCAGCGGAGCCCGTGCCGGCATTTCCCCCGCCTCCGCCGCGCCGGCGGGGACGGCCGCCCTCTGCCCACACGCCCGGAGCCCCTCGGCAGTCGTCCTCCGTTTACCTCCTCGCCACCGCCGCTGCTCTCCTCCGTGCCGTTTCCTACGCTCGCCATGTTCCCTCTCCGCTGCCCGCCGCGAGAGATCTCTGCGGCCGACGCGCCCCGTCCACTGCTCACAGCCCAGCGGCGGTGCCGCCCCTCGCCCTTCCTGGCCGCCCCCGCTCGATCCGGCCGGGTCTGGCCCGGCCCCGCTGCTCCTGCCCGGTTCGTCCGGGGCCGCGTTCACCGCCTCCTCCCGCCCCGGCCGCCCCGCGGCTCCGGCGGCCGCGCCCCCTCGTTTGCATGGCAGGACCCGCCCCCGCCGGTCGCGCCCCGCTGGCCGTTGGCGTCCGCCGCCTGCACACCGCCCTCGCTGTCTTTCGGCCCGGGAGATACGGCATGTCCCGGGGCCGCCGGGCCCGGGGGCGGTCGGAGAGTGCGGTTGGACAGGTCGGAACAAGCGGAGCGTCGTCCCAAACTCATGCCGAGGTCCCCATCCTGCCTTCGTCCTGCAGCTCTGCTTCCAGCCGCACAGCGGCTTCGCGCCACCGTGACCGGCTTGACTGATGGAGGTGCCGCAAAGCTTCTCGCAGTCGTTCCCGGGGTGTCCTTCCAGTTCCCGGGTTACCTGAGTGGCAGCACGGGCTGGTTCACGTCACCTGACCCAGCGGTGGCGGACTGGCGCTTCGTGCCGGGCGGCAGCAGCCTCTGCCGGGATATGCCGCGCCGCGCGGCCGGCTGCTCCAGGGAAGGGCAGCGCGGGCTGCGCTCGTGTCCGGAGGGACCTCCTGCACTGCGAGCAGACCCGGCCGCTGCCATGTTGTCAGTGAGCCACAGGTATTCAGTATCTGATGTCCGGGAAAAACTTGCACTTGCAGTCCTTCAGCTCCCAGTGGCCTGGGGAAGAACGGCTTCATCATCGTGCTGGGTATCACTTGCAAAGAAAATTCACCAAGCAGCCAGCTCTCTGAGAACTGCTAGACTCCCCCACCTTGCTTTGTCCTGTCTTTAGTTCACAGTATCATAATGCTCTTTGCTCAAAATCTACCCATTTCCACTTTTCTGGTTTTTTGCTGGCTGAGGTCAATACCAACTAAAAGGCAGGTAGCATGAAGCCCACTTCCTACTGGTTAGTTCTCTGTCACAGCCCTTGTTAAAAATACATATAGTTTTGATAGTCTGGCTTTCGTTAGAACTAAAGAGAGATTAAGAGAGAGAGATAATTGAATAGATTCAGCAAACCAGGAGGTAGAGACAATATAAGAGCTTTTTGCAAGATTTGGGAACACAGTCTAGATGGATGCCAGGTCCCTAAGTCTAAGAAAAGGCAGAAGTACAGGGTTTCAATGTACTGACAAGTGAAGCATCCCTACTAATCTTATGTAGACTGCTCTATCTTATATTTGTACCCAGCTCAGCTAAGTAAAAACGGGAGAGGAAGCTAGCATAAATATATTCATCTTTCCTGCAAAATTCAGTTAGGGTACCACAGACACACTGTTCTCCCATATTCCTGTTGCGTTTCTTTACTGGAAACTTGTTGGAAGATACTCCAGTGATGTTAATATTTTTCCAGGATTCATGAAGCACATGAAATATACCAGTCATGCAAAAGCAGCAGACAGGCTCATACATGCTTTGTATTTGACTCACAGTACAGTCATGTCTGCCCACATGTCAGCTCCACCTGAAACCTTTTTTTTATGCTTTTCACAGGAATTATTCTTCAAGTTATCATTCTCTTTTGAAGACATGATTCCCTTTCTGTTTTTCAACCCCTAAGACAATCCCTTTGAGGTATCCTTTACCTTAGAGCAGCATACTGCCTCCGTTTCAAATCCAGTTTTTAACCACTATTATTATTTAACAGAATACTGTGGGATATATAGTGTATGTGTAGGATAACTAATACATAAGGTCTGGATGAGAACTAGTTATGCTAGTAACTTCTGTAGAAGCCACACATCTAAGCAGTTGCACTAGCAACAGAGAATAAAAGCTTTACATGATCACTTAAGTTCTTGTAGAAGCTGTTAATGGACTATAGCACCAACACTTCTGAAGTTAGGTTAGGGAAATCCTAGTAATATGCAGAAGAGTTAAGTCATGGGTGGTTACTCTACGTGTGGAAGACATAGCTTCTTGGGTCAGTTCAGTTAATGTACTCAGCAAACTCACTATCAAGGACTAGTTCATCACCATTTTGTCAAAATCAGCTCTTGATAGGTTTCATTTGTATTACTGTATTCCTTCTTCCCCATCAAGTTCTTTAGTTCACTTTAGTACTCTTGGGCAGATTTAGTGCTATATATATCAATGGCTTTTCTCCAGTCAGAACAAAGATGGGTACTAAAACAATTGTGGAAGAGATGACTACATCAAATTGTGTCTGATGGAGGTAACTAAGGCATGAAAATTGCTACCAAAGTCTGAATACAAGCCCTGGGAATGGCAGAGCAATTACTTAGTTTTGTTTGGTCCTTTACAAGCTTCCACGGTGCTTGATTTTTCTAAAGACATTGTAATAATAGTAAAAAAGGACTTCTCAAAACCACACCTCAGTTGGCTTTAAGTTAGTTTAAAAATTCCCCCCCTTCTCACTTGAATTGTAAGCATTAAAGAAAATCCTTGTAAATTCCTCTTACAGTTTTCCATTTGTAAAAAAATAAACAAAACCAAACCCACCACTTCTGAAGGAATATGAACAAGAAGTAATAGGTCTTAATACTCTGAGAAGCCTGCAACAGTTCTCAGCCGGCTCTAGTTTCTATCCATCTGACTGTAGGTGTCTTTCAGCAAGAATTAGGAAGATTATGAGCCGATTACTAATCTTTCAAGAGCATTCAAGGAACATTCCAGTGGATGTGCTGAAAGGATTTTGCTGTGATCTGACAGAGGAGGCAAGACCGTGAGAGTCTGTTCTCCTCTGTCGGGTATAGCTGGATAGAATTCCCACGCAGAAAAAGCTTGCCTACTTTTCCCCATTTTCACAGCCATCACTTGCATGCTTCCATGTGTTAACACTATCCGGATATTTGATAACTCTTCTAGTGTATCCTTTCGCAGTATAGCTGTTCACTGTGAATTTACCTCATAAGAATTCATGGGACAATTTGGAAAAAGAAGTATCTTTCTTTTTTATTTTTTTGAGCTTCAGCAATTGAATACAGATCTTACAAGGATGAAGAGTCCTATTCTGCCCCTCATGATTAGATAATATAGAAGAATAAAATCAACCTCAGTATAAATACTCGGTACTGATACACTTTTCTTGAGGACTAGAAAATAATCCTTGAGATAGGCTCTCTGTAAAAGAAGCCTAGGAAATTGCCCTAGCAGTCCTACAGCTACTTTCCAGTAGGGTTACTCTGTCTTAGACTCAAACAGACAGCAGAGCTGTAAATAACACTCATTAAACAATTAGCAGGTTCCCTGATGGAGCTAGGGCAAGTGAGCAAGGCAGAAACCAACTCCCGCCTAGTTCCAGAAGTACGGTTTCATAAACTACCTATTAGAACAGTGAGTACTCTGAGCTGTATGTGACTCTACCCACAAAAATACCCTGTGAAATATTTTTTGAGAAAGTCAGAATCAGCATATTTGAGGAACACCCTTCAAGATCAAGAGAATGAAACTTCTTACTGCTGTATTGAGTTAGAAGCTGGCAAAAAAAAAATTAAATTAAAAAAAGCCAACCACTGACATATATATTTGAAGCAACTTGTCAGAGATACTATTGTGTAAAAAAAAAATAAAAGACATAACAGCCAAGAACAAAAAATTGCTGACGGTGTATTTTCCTTTGGATTATAACTGCCATGCCATAACCTCTAGGCAATTAGGGTTTTATAACCAGCACTTATTTTGCCAATTGAGGTGAATCAACACTTCTTCTTGATGGAAACCAGTATGAAAATATTATTTATTTCCACAAGATGAGCTAGTCTGTGATACAAACAGTATTTCAGCCATTACTATAGCAACAGCAGTAATCCCTTTAGAATTAAAACACATGAGAGTGCATTGATGCATATATGTAGTGGTATGAGGAGGCTAAGGTATATTCTAAGATAAATTCAATTCCTGCACATAAACACACAGACACATGCAGTCTACCCAGTCCTCAAAAACAAGTCTCAGGTTTTGCCCTAGACTCTAGGAGGAATATTAATTCTCAGTCCCAGCACCCATTTTCCCACATTCAACTGAAAGGAGGGTGTAGCAAGACACAAAACAGCCCACCTAACTTAGTAAATGCAACAATTAAAGGCACTAGAGTAAGGTAAGTCAGTAAGCTCAAAACACATGGTCTGACCTTGGACCCCAACAAAACCCCAAAACGGCTGAACTAAGGAACTAAATCAACACACCAACACACAACTTTTATGAAAGATGTGAAAGTTGGCTTTCTGGAACACCTGGCATGCATGCAGACAGTACTACAGCCTAGAGTACTCATGTTCTACAGACTACAGATATGGACATCAAGTAAAGCTTAAAGTATTGAGTTGTTACACTTAGGAGTGAAAGTGTTCTACCCACAGTAAGCTGCTTCGTCTAAATCCTGTTTGTTGGACCTCTCAAGAATTTTATTTGGAAGTGAAGAACCTAGGTGTTCTTTTCTTTCACAAATATATACATGCAGAAATTTTATTTGAATACTTAGACTTTCATACTCTGCTAGGCATTCTTGTAGAGAGCCAGAGTGGTTTCAAACTCTCAGGTCTTGTTTCCATATTTAAAAAGTGGTGGCCATCTGAAAGTAAAGCATCTTCTTTTTGTCAAACAGACAAAGTTGCCTTTACTCACCATGCTAGCATGAAGCAAATATTGCAGAGGTGGAAAGACACACAAACCCCCAAGGTTGGGAGAGAATGATTAGGCATTTCAGCACAAACAGGATCTTGAACAAGATACATGAGAAAATCTCCTCTGTTCAGGGAAGCCCTGCCTCTTTACAAAGCCAGGATAAGGACAACAATGAACTTTGGACATGGTACAGAGGTTTACCTTGGTTACCATGTGACTTATTTCTGTATACCTAAGCCATGTTGTATAAGTGATCTTCGGTGAAAGCATAATGCAATTAACTCACACAGATTTCAAGCAGCCTCTAGTGCTTTCACCAGTTTATCTACACATTGTTTGCATGTTTTCTAGCAACATTTCTACAGGTGCCATCTATAATTTATGGACTATATTTGGATTATTTTCTGTACGCTCTTATAAGCTTCCTAATGGAGAGCCATGCCTAAGGGAGAAAGTTGCCACTAAGAAAGACTACTTAAACTTTCTAGCCCTAGAAACAAAATATAACCCCCAACATTTACATACATTTCTCCTGCTCCAGGTGGAGTCAAGCTGTTCTTAGGCTGACACCATTTAAATTGGATTTATCCACAGCCAATGCACAGCTTTCACAACTGTGTAAGTCACAGAATACTTGATCCACCCTCTGCTGAATGTACAGACAAGCTCAAGGTTAGAGAAGGTTGTACTAGGCACGCCCTTTAAGAACAGCTAATACACCACGTAAGTACAGACCTCCAAGCAGAACTTAGAGTACTAGGTCAGACTCTGCACGATGATACATGGGGAAATTGGTAATCCATGCAGAACACCAATAAACAAAGAACAAACAAACAAAAACACAAAACAAAACACCTAAGCATTATTATTATCTTTTAGAATGCTAAAAAGTCTCTCTGTTTTCTGTAATTTTAGACAACTAAGCCAAAGATCTACCTGGCATTTCACTACATTTCTAAACGCAGGTAGGCATCCCATCACCTACACGCCTCCTAACTTTACTGGTCAACATTCTCTCTTCTCAACATTCTTAACCTGTTCCACCCCACTCCCACCCTCTGACATCCCATTCTATTCCATTCCAGCATATTCTCTTTCCCCATCCAGAAGAGAAACGAGAAGTTCCCTTTGTTTTTCTAAGTTTTTATATGCTTGATTTTCTGTTTATCTCCTCTTCTGCTCATTTATCCAACCAAGGCATTT